TGTGGGAGCCTAGGTGTGAACAACAGAAGAGAGCACACAATGTGTATATAAAAAAATAGAACTTAATATAAACAACATTTGTGGATCCACATTGTACAAATAAACAAAAATTGCCTGCTTTTAAAAATAAATAAATAAAAGAAATAACCCAGTCTTTTTGATGTGTCTGTCAAATGTTCTCTCAAAGTTTGTTTAGTCTTTCCAATGCGTTTGTCAAATATTCTTTCAATGTTTCACGGCTGGTGACCAGTCGGGTCACCATCTACTCTGGGCTGGGGCTCGCCATCCAAGTTCTTGTGAGGGTGATCTTGATGTCTCTGGGCACGATGCTTCAAAAGTGCACCATAACAAAGAAAAAAACCTGACCTGGAACAAGGTCAAAGAAAAGCATCTTAAAATTCAGGATGCTAATATCAATAAAGCTTAAGCAACAATTCAAATACCTCTTTTATCAAGTTTCAAGTTTTTCCATGTTTACAACAATATCATTCTAGTAATCACAGTTAAATATTACCAATACATCAGTAAACTACAGAAATTAGTTCATATTTGGTAATAATCTAAAAGTGCCCATCTAAAATCTAAAAGTGCCAAAGTACATCTATAACACTAAATTTAACAGTCAGAATGTGGATTAGAAACCCACATTAGCTCTGACCTACACAGAACAGAAAGTTCCTAAGTAATAACATTACACATTACGGGTGGGGGGGCGGTGGATTCTTAGAGACTCCCTGTTATATTCAGCCCCTGCTCCAGACGAAAAAGGGGGGGAATCAACTTTTTGGGGGGCAAAAGGAAACGTAGCTGAACATAGACAACACCACTAGCCTACAGGCTACTTGTTAACAAGCTTAAGGTTCTGTATTGAAATTAGCTAGTCATCTTTTAACTAACATTACCTGCATCCAACAGTTTTACTCAACAGTCTGTTAGTTTGGGGGGAAAACTCTGAAAAGTTCTTTGCGTTTTGCTGGTTTGCTGCCGTGATTCTAACACACCTGTAGCTCTGCACAGCAGCAGCTGGTCTCCTTCACAGGTGTAAACCCAGCGCGAGCGTTGTAGCGCTCAAGTTGCGTTTAAAGGCGGCTCGGAAAAACAGGTTATGACATGTTAACGGATTAAACAGTTTTAACTGCTGATAAAAGTGACAGAGGACACAGATATGGGAAGTGCGGAAGATCCTACTGTATCAAATTGACAGAGGAATAACAGAGAGTTGGCCATTCTACGGTAAAAACCCAGCGCATACAGTTTTCATGTTTTTTTTTTTGGTGTCTTTTTTTTTATCCAGATGGCTTCCGGCGTCGCCCCTGCAATGGCACGGCACCCCACAGTTTGGGAACCTCTGATCTATAGTGTTGCAGTTGTCAGAGCTTTTATTAAGTTGTTTGATACATCTGAACAGCACACAAATGTATACATGAAATTCTTCAGCAAAGCATAAAAAGTTGGTATGTTATTCATGACAAACAGATGTCCATCTGCAAGTCAAATGTTTGAGGAGATTCAGGATTCTGAAATTGTTCTGGTTGGCTACTTTGTAAAAGTCAGTCAGTGGCACGTTAAGTAAAATGGCACTTCAATATTTCTACTTCCAAACCAGTTGAAATTGTTTTGAATATTCTAAATATACTTTAACAAATTTCAAAGATATGCGCCACACTAAAAAAAATCCATAAATGGGCAACTAAAAAGTAGGTGAGGATCTAACATGTTTGGCAGGGTCCTAACTCCCAGACTAGCTAACTTCTCCCTGTTCCTGTGGAAAAGGTGAGTAGCACTCTTTAGTGACATGCTAGGCTAGTTAACGACATTCAATGGAGGAATTGTTTTCTTTGTTCCTTTTACAATTACACAACTAAACTGCAGTATTTGTTTCAGACAGGAATTCAAATAATTTTACTGAAATGATAAAAAATCTGCCTCCTATCTGGACTGGAGGCTGGTTGGTTTCAACACCGAGTATCCTACCTTAACTTGGATATAGTTAGAGATTATCCTGCCACTTTCCCTCCTGACTTTTCCTGCTTTTAATCTGACTTCAAATAGAGAATTGCAGACTGTTACATGCATAAATCACCAGCAGTAAATATTGTGGTGGTGTCAGTATTGGATCAAAGAAAACTTATTAGCGGATTTACAGTTCCGCTTTAAATGAGTCAAGACAGACTGAAGAGAGAAACAACTGTGCAGTGGGAACACAATTTAGTTTGTCAAGGGGTTAGCCCAAAATTCTTGGCAGTGCCCCAGGAACAGGGACGAATCTAAAACCTGCAGGACATTAAATGTTGAGGAATTGGGTGGGAGACTTCTGGACTAGGCAATTCCAATTACGTCATTCTTATGTACTTGAGAGTATTTGAGATGAAAATGGTGTGTGTAGCTGTCCATTTTAACAATTCAAACACAAAATCTACCATAATATCTATTATTCTATTTAGTTTAAATCATTTTGGCACAACTACAGAACATGTTTTCCTTCTCTCATAAGTTTTAGCTCCTTGTGCGTTTAGCCATTACCAAGGAAACGAGAGGAGGGAGCAATTCGAGGCATCAGAGTGAAGCTTTTTGTCATTCGTATTGGTAGAAAGAGAGACAATGAAAACAAACAAGCAATATTATAATCCAGCTTATTTTTATTCATTGTGCGATTGATTTATAGCGACAGGCCTACTTCTCACCTGTATGACTTTTCTTGTGACAATTTAGGCGAGTAATCCGACAGAAACTCTTTCCACATGACACGCATGTAAAAGGTCTCTTACCTGTATGAACCGTCATGTGGTAATTTAAATAACTAATTCGAGAGAAATTCTTACCACATAACTTGCATGAAAAAGGCTTCTTCCCTGTATGAATTGTTTTGTGGCCATTTAAACTACTAATTTGAGAAAAACACTTTCCGCATGATTGGCATGAAAAAGGTTTCTCACCTGTATGAATTTTCTTGTGACGATTTAAATGACCAATTTGAGAGAAACACTTTCCACATGATTGGCATGAAAAAGGTTTCTCACCTGTATGAATTTTCTTGTGATGATTTAAAGAACCAATTTGAGAGAAACTTTTTCCGCACAAGTGGCAGAAAAAAGGTTTCTCACCAGTGTGGGTTCTGTAATGGTTTTTCAACTTCCACCGTTGTGTACAACATTTCCCACAAATGTCACATTTGAAAGATCTTTTCTTTGTGCCAGTATCAGACTGACTCTCTGACACAGAGCAGCTGCTTCCTTCCTGATCTTTGCTCTCATTCACTGCAGAGATATGAAGGGAAAGCTGCTCTGTTCTTGTCTCTTCTTCATTCATATCATCTCCCTGAAGAGTAGAAGTCTCAATCAAAGCAACAAACTGCTTCTGGACAAGCTGCTCTCCCTCCTGACTGCTGCAGAGGTCCTTCTGGTCCTGTCCAGTTGGTAAATGTTCTGGTGGCTGCTGTTCATGTTGAAGCACTGAAGAATCTAGCTCCTCTTTTCTTACATATGTTAGTGGATATTCTATTTCCTCATGTTTGAGCAGTGTAGGTTCTGGTTCCTCCTCTTCTTTTTTAATCCAATTAGGTTCTGGTTCCATCTGTTCCTCTTCAGTCCACTGATGTTCTGCTTCTTTCTGGTCCTGACTGGACCTACTTGCCAGGCTCCAGACTTGTTGGATAACAGGAGCTTCCTCCTCATTGGAGACACTTGGCTGTTGGAGGTCTGTGGGGAAAAAAGATGACATCATTAATAATTAAAATGATGACTATCTCAGGTATCAGCCTGGTTTTTCCTGGAGATGTTGGTCTGTAGGCATGATAGGGATTAACTATTAATCTAAAGATAGTTTGTAAAGTTTAACTGAAAACCAGGTAAAGTGTCCTGCACACTAGTTTGCATCTGTGGCAAAAATATTCAAAACACTTTTGGCCCGAAGTAGTTTCATACATATTTTTAATTTACAATTAAATGTTTAATCTTACAGAATCTATACAGTGAAGAACTCATCCTACATTAAGACTATATGTTTTAATCACACTATAACCTCATATGTAACTTAACTTTTTAGATCTTTAATCAGTAAAATATGGCATGTTGGTACTCTGACTTATAAATGTGATGAGATACTCTTAGCCTCTCTTGAACAAAGAAAGAGAAGAGAACAATACTTAAGATTGAAATAAGGCTCAAAATGAAGTGGATCCAATAAAAGATCCCAAAGACTGGCCTAAAATTAACCTGTGTAGCATCCGAGCTAGCAGGTAAAATCAGTTCCTATTCAGCCCCGGTTAGCAGCAGCTGGAGTTGCAGCAACTATGGCCGCTGACAGATCTCTGTCTGCTGTCTTCAGTGAAAACATCAGCACCTTTATCCAGACCTACCAGAACTTTGTCTCTGCAGCTCCAAACCAACTCTGTGTAATTCAGGTTCGCTGTGTTCCTCTTGGAAGAGCTCTTGCTCAGGGGGGGCCGAGGAGGAGGCCTGTTGAAGGTGAAAGGGTAAGGTTTAACATTCTAAAAGGCATTCCTGGGTCTGTAGGAACCAGGGAGAACCACAGAGCTCAGTGACACTTGGGAGCAGTCACAGTTGCTCTCTAATGACAGGTATGAAATACCTGCCTGTGATTGCTCCTGTATTACAGGAACTCAGGTAGGTAATTGAATATGGTAATGACTTTTACATACCTGCTCCAATGTCATTATCTTCTTCCTTGCTTTTTTTGCCCATCGAACTTGACTCTTATACTTCCTCCTCAAGGACTTGAGCTCTGCTTTGAGTCTCTTGTTTTCTAAAACTAATTTGCAGGAGGAGGAGGTGCAAGGAGAATCAGTCGTGGCAACATCTACAAGCATTTCTTCATGGTCCTCTGAGTCCAAGTCCAGGGAGGACATCATAGGAGGTTGAGGGTTGTTAGCCCTCAGTGCCTTCAGTTGGTCAACAACACAGCAGATCTTAATGTCCTTGATGATGTCCTGGATTTTTGCAGCATCTAGTTCAGGGTGTCCCTGCTTGAGATGGGAATCCACCCTTGAACTGGAGTACTTGCATTCTTCTATGGGGCAGGACATGCCCCGTATGTTAACCCGCCCCCTTCCATAATTTATAAGGATCCTCCTTTCTGCTTTGTTCTTTATTAAATGTTTGTTTTCCAGGTGTTTGCCCAAGTACAAGTATTTGTACTGGCAAATAGGGCAGTAGCTTGGAGTATTTGGAGGAGCCATTTTAATACGGCTGCTGAATCTGTCAATGAGTAATAAAAGACAGTTTTACTTGTTTTAATATAACCAATTGATGTGAAAAAAGATGTAAAGTCACTTAAAATAAGCAAAACACAAGTATCACAGGTAAGTACAACAGTTACATAAACACACGGGTAAGTATGACAGTTAAATTAACACACACGGGTAAGTATAGCGGTTAAATAAATAGTTAGCAACAATTAGCAACCGTATCAAAACTAACCGAGTGAAAGCAGCTTTCACACGGCTATTTTCGAAAGTATGCGCTTTCTAAGTTACATTAACTGGCCCATTTCACGGTTAAGTTAGTTATATTTCGAAGAATAAACACATTTTTATGCTATACATCCATGAAAAATAACTTACCGTACACCGCAGCTGCAGTCTGTCCTCCTGTGCTCGGACACGTGCTATGACGAGATCACCGCGGTAAAGCTAGCCG